CCTTAAATTACCAGTTACAATGATTGAATATAAGAGGTCTTAAAATATGGCCCATTTTAACACTTAATCCTTAGTTTCTATTATCACATATAATACCAATTGCAATATTCTATGCTTTATCACAGCATTTAAAACTAAAAAAATAAAGAAAAACAAATTAAATATTCAATAAAACTTGACAAAATCAAATAATAATACAAAACAAGGTAATTAACGCTTACAATTTTAGTAAGTTAATCATAATAGAAATAATTTATAAAGTTACTCTCTGTAATGGAGACTATCATAAAAAGCATGATAATCGCGGTGCATATAAGGTTTTAATGACTGTAGACTATCATATTTAGTTTTATCAAGTTTTCGGGGTTCGTTGTAAAGTGGAGTAATAATTGTCTTGGGTTGAAGGCACGAACTCGCTGAGGTAGGACTTGCCATTCGTCAGGGTGCCGTATCTTGTAGAAGATACTACCATTTTTATACAGAAGAGCTCGTAAGTCATTTACAGTCGGATCTCTTGCCCTTTTACCAGGACGAATGGAATCAAGGCAAGCATCTTTCTCATAATTTTAAAAAAATGTGTAATCTACATAGTGTACATGATATGGTTGCTTTGGTCGAGCTTCTATCATACGAGTACTTGGTGTGTAGATTGGGGGACGAAACTTTTTCTCCAATGTTGAGTGGACACTGTCCACATGCATCATTGTATGACCTTTTTCTAAAATTATCTGTTCAATCTCCAATGCAGTCTCCTTCGTTAATTTTAATAGAGCCGATGACAAAACTTTATTTCTATTCTGATAAGAACACCCATCCGAAATTATTATGATTTTCTTGTAGTTTAACTGAGTTTCTATGAAGTGTATTAAGCAACTTGTAAACTCATTAGCCGTAACACCTCCATCTCCTTCGTGCCAAACATATAAATGAACATCTTTATCATTATTAACGTAAATTGACTGATTGTGAACTTGAAGCTTTTGCTTATAATATTGAACCGATACCAAAATTTTTGGACAAAGGAGGATAGATTGGACATCAACAGTCAAAATAAGCACTTCGGATGACCGCATACTGCTAGCATCAATATGTGCTCTGTAAGCTTAATTTTTTTTTGAATGTGTAATGTGTATTGCTCTTTTAAGATATTACCTTCTTTTCTGGCTGAACATATATCGCACTGATCCTTTCTTGGTTTATAAATAGAAATCTTTCCTCTTCCAACACCTTATTAAACAGTTTGCGACCAATATTTGGTTTTCGGTTATCCTTACACCACTCTGTATAAATTCGAAACATGTGAGACTTTGATTCAAAAGTATCGTCAATATAAACTCTGTTACTGCTAGAGCGACAATAGTGACTTGGTACTTTATTAAGTAAGTTCAACCATTCTTTAACAGCAGTTGATCTGACAGTTTTCAAAACAGGTATTTTTATTATCTTTTATTGTCGTTTTTCATGTTTAGATCTTAAGTCCTTTCCTCCTTCTCGATTTTCCTGCAGCTTCTTAATCCATTCTGACAAGGTATCGCTATGTATATTAAAAGTGCTAACAAAAAAGCTTTTACACACCTTTACAGTGACATTCTGATCATCTGGTAAATAATAGTCATAGGCCAATTGTCTTTGAGATGCATCCTCTGAAACAATCGCGTTTTTACGTCTTCTCAATACCGAACGCATACGAACAAGATTTTTTAAATAAGCTCTTTTTAGCATCCCAAGTATTTAAGCTCCAAAAATAATGAAATATAACTTTTCGTTTCTGTTCGGAAATCAAACCACATAAAAAGCTCCTATCAGATTTCGATATAGTAGAATGAGAACATGGTTTTCCTTTCAGATGTTTTCTAGGTTTTGGTACTAATTCATTTATTGCTTTCTTTTCTTTTTCAATCCATTTTCTCTTTCTTCCTATATATTTTTCACCGCGTACTCTCTTTAGCCTATTAGACTCCCTTTTTCTATTTATCTCCTCATCACTGCTTGAATACTCAGTTTCAGATGGTTTGGTATCGTTTTCTCTGTTCATGCAAACTGTATTATAATTAGGTTCTAATAACCCTGTCTTCTCATCGAGATAGTATTCTTCGCTATTTAAAATTTCTTTATAATAATCCATATCCTCTCTTATCTGGCCTGTCACTTCATCGAGAATATATCTTTTGTTTAAATTGAGAGGAATCTCATTATTTTGAATTTCGACACTGTCGGTGTTTTCAGGAATGCTAAAAATGAATTCTAATGTACTTACAAAAGAATCAAGATTTTTTTCATACGTAACGTCCTTTAATTCTTCAAATAGAGGAACTTCTATATTTTCAGATGACATGTTGTACATGTTCGTGATTGTATCGGAAATATTATTATTTCGGGTCAGGTCTGAATTTCGTAAGCATTGCGTTGGATCGTAACTACTTGACAAAATAATATCCGAGGATATATTGAAATCTTTACTTTGATTACTGTTTATGATTCCTTTAGCCAAATTTACCAGTACCTGTGCTCGTGACGATGGTTTGCTGGGATGTGAGTTAAAAGCCATGACGCCTGAAGCAACAAAAACCAAGAATTAGGTAAACAGCACAGGTAGGTTAGCAGGCATCTTTTGCTATAATTAACTACGGACTTAGTGCACATTACAATATAGCACCTAAATACACACATTACCTATATTCCTATATACATACGTTATACAGCAACGACCCAACAACAAGCGTTCATGCTCACATATAACTTTATTGCTACCTGGATTCGAACCCAAGACGTTGGATCAAAAATTTAACTGCTAACCATCCAAACAGGTCGTCAAAATTCTCAAGTTTTAAAGACGAGACAAAACCTAATAGCCAGATAAGTTGCAATATCAACTCAAGGGTTTAGCTGTAAAAAGGCAACAAATCGGTAATAAACCAATAACCAAACTGTAACAAACCGGCAATAAGTAGGAAGTTTATCGAATTATAATTTATAATGTAATCTTAGTATTTGCCAAGATTCTGATAATTATAGGTATTAATAGTTAGCAAATAATCTACTATATTTCTCCTATAAATATAACAATGTAAGAAGTAATAAAACTGCGATGCACATATTTTAGGTTAGGATTTTATATATTAAAATTGACAAGTTATAAATGATCATTATCTCAAACTTGAGGAGATAATAATTAAACAACATTAACTATGATGTAAATAAACTGTGTACTTACCAGTTTTGTTGTGTATCTACCCGTAAATCTATTTTTTAATGTTGTGTACACCACATACTCAGATCTTTAACGCTCTTGGTGGGAGACTAATAAGCGAACACAAATCCTTTGTGTGCATTACTGCACATACTGATTTTTTCAAATGGTCAATACACAAATGGAATTGGTTAAATTCGTATTTAGGTCGAATATCACAAAAAGGACTTTATCACCACATGGAGAATAAAATGCAGATTAATATGAGTGAAAAAAAAAATATTTGAAAAAATACACATATGGAACTTGTCAGGCGCAGCGACGATAAATTAAGGTATTGCCATTCAGTACAATGTCAACCTCCACACTGTTTGTCATGAATTTATTTTTGTTGACTAGAGTTTCCACCATGATCTTTCGCTTGTAAAAGTCTTTTTCTTCTTCAGTCTTCAAACTGTAAATGATTTATGTTTAGACCATAGTTGTCCCAGTCTAATTTTCTAAAAATATTCTCCATCATGCCATGAACAGTTTAGGAGACAATGGATCTCCTTGCCTAACTCCTCTAGGGAAAGGATCACCACATAATTCCAATTTTATACTATTCTTGCTCTTGAGATATATATTTTTGATGATGTTGATGTAAGTGTCCTCTACATCCTGCTGTCGCAGAGTATACCAGATATATGAATGGCTTAGACTATTGAAGTTACATAATGTGTTGCATAAACTTTCTATAATTGTGTATGGGTTATTATCATTAGTTCATAAAGATAAGATCACAACATCATCCTTCTTGAAAATGTATAGATATAACACTTGCATACTCAGCGTGAACAGCTTGTTATGCTGCTAATGTTGTAATGATACTTAAATTTTCGAGACTGCATCTTTTTTAGTTGTTCTGCTAATACTTTAACTTGTTCATCACCAATTATATAGATGGTAAGTTTTAAGTAGTGTATTGTTCTAGTGTAGAGATATCTCTTACTAAATTTGAAGGTGAAGTTGATATAAGCTTTGGACCCATCTGGCAAGAATGTATTGCATTTTTTTCACACAAGTTCTTTGCTTCAGAAGTATTTGTTAGCTATACACATAGTATATATACTATGAACACTTAGAAACACTCAATAATCACAGTAAGACTTGTATGTTAAATTCTATATGTTATATTACTATTTATGATGTGCTATTAGTATTAAATCTTAAGCTTATTGTGACAGTTTTGTTATAAATAAATAAGTGTAATAGTTTCTAGTGAATTGTAACAAGTAATTGTAAGGTGGAGGACTGACTACTTGAGATTCAGGGTTTACCCTAGTGCTGGTGTCAGTCCACCATAGTCGGCTATGTGATACACAGTTATTCCCATGTAAGTCAAAGGATGATTATGGTGAGGATTAAATGACTATTATACTTATATAGGTAGGTACCTATGAAAAGTAGTCATAAAATATAATCTGTTCCAAGACATGCAAAAGAAAAAACAACACCCAAGGACTTACATATAGCATCTTATATAATAAAACTAAGTAAGTACCATGCAAATAAATAAGGTTGTGGGTTCGATTCCCATCTCAGGGTACCAGGGACCAAGTGGATTTTTTAAGCCTTTTGTATTAAGAATAAATAACATGCAGTTCTATAATACCTAAGGTATCTATAATACCTATTGTTTACTTTAAACATTCATATAATACTTTAGGTAATTGGTTATTTTAAAGAATGCCATGCATGGAAGAGAATATAGAACCACTAGTATCAATGACCATGTTGTGCCAATAAAAAGAAATAAACACAACCATACCCATCACTGGTGTCTTCTTTTTTAACATCAACAATAGCATCACTGGCCTCATCTTGGCTTATAGAGTGAATTTCAGTCTTGTGTGCACTCGCTGCACGCTTGCCTCCTGGCTGATCCACCAAACCACACTCATTGCAGTCCCAACTGAAAATTGCCTCAAATTTATATTATGTATTGCAAATTATAAAACTAAAATATAAGTAATACTATTATTGTAAAATTGTTTTAAGTGATTTACGAGGTAAGACATTACCTGTCATCATCAGGAACTTTAGGCTTAACTTTACGTCTGCCTGTTGCTAGGGCTTTTTTCTTCGGTTTACGATGTCTCTTCTTTTTAGCAACAGATAAAGGCTCATCTTCAGAGTCTATACCAAATTCTATATATGTGTGAAGTTGGTTATTATTCCCTAATTGGATTTCATTTTTCACAGATTCAAGTCGTATGGGATGTACTAGTGGAGATTCAAATAGAGGATTCTTACTTAGAATAGATTCAAAAGTTTCTTTTAATTTTAAATATTCTATCTCGGCCTGTTCTAAAAGATTGACGAGGTCATGACAATTTTTGCAGATATATTTAGAGTGTTGTGCTTCAGCGAGATTGGAGTTTGTGAACTTCAACAGGAAGCTGTGCAACGAAATGCCTGTGGCAGTAGTGTTGGTCGCGTAAATGTCGTACGTGTCATTGCTGCGGACTACACATATCACACACTCATGTGGCTCTGGCTTAACTAGCACATCTAATTCTTTTTTGATGCCTTCCACCAAATCTTTGACGACTAAATCGCCCTGGGCGACTTTATTGTCAGCCTGTGCTGGGGTTTCTGCCATTCTTTAAAATTACTTTCACTCTGTCAACTTATCAATAAATGCATTCGTACTAATAATAACACAGCAATTTAACACATTTTTCATTAGATACACAATTATTGTTCAAAAATTAAAATTAGTGGCGAATGACAAGAAATTGACGCGACACAAACAAGAGTATGACATTTGACTTTTTTATTGCTTTTTAAAACCATTTCGTTATTATGAAAGCATAGGAAACTATGTTTATACGGTCTTTTTATTCCAAATGAACGAAATGTAGGGTCATTATGATATAAATATATATTAAAGCAAAAATAAGAAAGTGTTTAAACAATAAAAATTAGTTCTTGAAATCAAACTAGATGTCACTAACGATGTTTGGATCTTGTCTATGATATTCATTCAAATTTTAATTCAAAAAGTAAATTAAGTATCGGAAATTAATAAATATGATAGAGTTTGGCAAGCGAAACGTGACACCACCTATTTTTCCGTTTTCATATGGCAACAACATAGAACTGTCAGTTTGACACTACGTTAGACAATTCAAGAATATTGAATTTTGTTGTTTTTGCGAATTTGAACTTGTGTTTTTGGTTAAAAATTATGTCGAAGCCGATAAAAAGTTCATCGAGGAAACTTCTTTCCATCATGATTGACAAGTTTACTGAAGTGAAAACTGAATTAAATAAAAATTTCATGGAGAAATTACAACGATTAGATAAAGTTGTATCTTTTTTAGGTTAGTTTTGTATTATAATTTTGATACTTTCGTTTTAATTTTCTGTAATTAACTAAACAGATATTTTTTATAAAATATTGCTCTATTTCAGATAACTGTGATGGTGATATTCAACCAATAATGGAGGAGATAAATGCAATAAAAACTTTAGAAAAACAAGAAATGCTGAATTCGGAAACGCAGTACTTACAAAAAATTTCTTCAATGACAGGTCTCTTTTCTTGTTTTGATTTAAGATAGATTGATAGTATTCCTATAATATTTACATAGGTTTTTTATGATGTATTGGTTTTTATTGTTGACATCCAATGATGTCATAAGAATGTTTTGTTTAACAAGGAAATTCACAGAATTCATGAAACTAATCAAACCATGTAATTGTTATACATGCTAAATATGCACATAAACTTAACTAAATTAAACATAAATTGCATTCATAGTTGAATAGGTATTTAAATTATTTTGATGTATGTGTCTATCATTATTTGCTTTTAAATACATTTAACATATCTTTGTTTCAAAGTGTTTAATCTTTTATAGATGTAAGTATAAGGACACTAAGAAGGATAAAAAATGAAGCATTAATTAATAAAGGAAAATGGGACACTCCTGGGAAAAAACGACCTCATCAACCAACAGTGTCTGCTTTAGATAATTTTGATTTAAGTGCAATTCGGAATAAAGTAAATGAATTTTACTGTGTGAAAAAAATTGTTCCAACATTAAGAAGCCTTCACAATGAATTAAAAGATGCAATAGGATTCAGTGGTAGCCGTGAGACTTTACGAAAAATTATGCTTAAGAATGGATTTTCTTTTAAAAGCAATGAAAATGAACGTTCTATGCTTATAGAAAAATACCAGATTTCTGCATGGAGGCACAAGTATTTGAGAGAAATAAATATAAAACGAAACGAAGGAAAGCAAATTGTGTACCTTGATGAAACTTATGTACATCAGAATTATAAAGTTAAAAAGTCTTGGCAAGGACCTACAACAACTGGTGTCACTACAAAGATATCCTCTGGAAAACGGCATATTGTTGTGCATGCTGGATCTGAGGAAGGTTTTGTGCCTGGTGCATTATTAGTGTTCAGTAGTAAATCCAAATCTGCTGATTATCATGATGATATGAACTCATCGAACTTTATGAAATGGGTCAGAGAAAAATTAATACCAAATTTAAGTAAGCCCAGTGTAATTGTTATGGATAATGCCAGCTACCATATAAAACAAATCAATAAACCGCCTATAATGTCTAATACCAAAGCAGATATCCGTAAATGGCTTGTAAATAATGGAATACATTTTGAGGAATATCAGACAAAGGCAGAGTTAATGTGTTTGGTTAATGATAAGAAAACATTGCCTGTATATGAAGCTGAAGAGATTTTAAAAGAACATAATCATGAACTTTTATTGCTGCCACCGTATCATTGTGACTTAAACCCAATAGAGATGGTTTGGAGTCAAGCAAAAAGAAAAATTGCAAGCAGAAACATTGGAATACCAGGAAAGGAAATGGAAAACTTAATAATAGAGTGTTTTAACTTAATTACCCCTAGTGACTGGAAGAAATACACTGATCATGTTTTAAATGTCGAAAATGATTACAAATTAAAAGATGGCATTGTTGAAAACGAACTTGAAAAATTTATTATATCTGTTGGTGCAGACAGTAGTGAAGAGAGTGACTCTGATGATTCCTTGTCATTGTTATCAGGTGTAGAATATTTAGAAACAGATTTTGACTATGAATCAGACTAAAGTATTTTTAGTCTGATTCATAGTCAAAATCTTATCTTAAATTTTCTATTGTGATTAACATGATGATTTTGTGACACCTGTATTATGTAATTTATCCATGGCACTTAATTGTAACAAAAATAAATGTTTTTTTTATTGTAATCTGGTGTTTATATTGACTAATTTAATTTGATAGATAGTGGTTCTGGATCAGAGCAAAAGGTTGTGATGAAAATCCCTTAGGAGACATGTATGTGTTATGAACACATTATAAATATAAGGGCCAGAAATCAAAATTGGCTAACATCACATTTATTAAAAAAATGTGGCCAGAGTCGCCCATATTCATTACAAAAAAACAAAGAAGTCGTTGCAAAAAACACCCTTTTAATTAATGACAAATATGAATTTTTAATATTATAAGTGCTGTTAGCCAATAGGTATAACGAATGGGTTAAAAAAAAGATTCGATTTAGTCCGTCAGTCAGATAATAGAAAAATATTGGATACGTATTTTTTTTCGCTTTAATTTAACAACAAATGGCTTAAGAGGTACTATGCGACGACTTCAAATATGCTTTGCAACAATGTTACTTTAATACAGTTTATCGATACGAAATCAAGTGTCAAAATGGAGTCCAGTGGAGAATGCCGATATTGACATTTCGAAATTGCTCATCATTGATAGAGAATACGAAATAGTGATTTTGACACAATCAAAGTGTCTATTTTTTACGGTGATGACGATTCTTGGTTGTCAGTTGAGTTAGTGAATAGGCCTACTGATATGCTGTTAACTGTACAATTAAGAACAGTCACGCTTTAGTCAAATGTTCCAAAACAAATAATTTTAATTGATATCTAAATGTTAAGATTAAATATAATTAATAAAAGTATCAAAATTATTTTGCAGTACTACATTCAGTGTTTACTGCTTAAGAATTTTTGAAATTGCCGCCCTTTTCTTGTGACACGTTTCGCTTGCCAGACTCTATCGTTTCGTGTTTCTTATAATACAAATACTTTCAAATGTATTTTATTTGAATTGTAAGTTTATGTTATTTATTATGTTACGTGTAAAGGAACGATGTTTAAATTATATGTCAATATTAGTGATGAGTCAACTTATTGGTTGATCGTAACTTCAATCGACTCGATTCATCCGATTCAGGTTTGGAATCAAGGACAAAAAGCAGAGCGCTAAATTCAGCTTGTATTTTTATGTGCCATATTTTCAAATGTGCCATTAAGCATCCACACATCGATTATATAAATATCAATGCAATCTAGGCTGTTACATAGCACTTATGAAAGTCGAAAACTTTGCCAACGGTTCACAAAACTAAGGCGGAAGATCTTGTATCACAATCGTAAACACACACACTTTAAACTTCGTAAATAAAAATATATTGTTGTAATGATGGGACACAGAAAGAAAAGATCGATACAATTTTATTGATTAATTCATTAATTCTTTCATTCATTCAAGCCTCGTTAAAATGTTGAACAAGCCAAAAATAATAATAAGTATTTTCTTTTATATAAACATTGATTAATCTAGGTATGCCTGTTCTTGTAACATGTTATACAAATAATTACTACAAACTACTATTTTGAACGTTGATGAAATTTTGGGACTGGATCTTGTAGTAGTAAATGTATACAGAATACCACAGAACATAGAGAGAGAATAGAAGTAGTAAGTGGGCGGGGCACGCGTCGCTAGCATATGCGCTTTTACTCATATGACGCCCTTTCCTCGGTTTTATGTTTGCCAGTCGTTCGTCAATCGTCGAGTGGTGATTTTACAGATTTTTTCTATAAAAAATGCCGTTTTGTGCTATTATCACTTGCAAAAAGCAAAGCAAAGTATACAATCTAACTAATGCAAGCATTTCCTTTCACTGGTAAGTACAATTTTAGTGCTAAAATATAAAAAACGTAATAATTTGACACAATGTTAAATAAAATATACATTGATTGCTCAAACCAACATCAATGTTTCTGACCCCATTACTAAACAGCAATGTAAATCATTTTGTGCACTTTTGAAAAAAATAGTGCTGTGCCTCCATTTGTCTGAAATGTACCGATAGGCTGCTGCTGCTCGGAATCGTATTGTTAATTATATGGATCGTAATCGATAACTAAAACATATTTATTTAGAGCTTTTCTTTCATCATTTCATAACAACGTTATCGATAAATATATGCCATAATTATATAAAACTAAAAAATACTGTTTACAAGGGAAAATTATAGATGAACTGATACTGAACAAATGAAATAATGAACTGTCCAGGCACTTTTTTTACGAAGATTCGGTTAATTATTTACACGCAGATAAATATTAAAAATTACTGATGAGCTATAAATATCTAAGTTACGAAGTATATCACCGTTTTATGAACAATACATAAATTAAACGAAACTTCGTGAAAAGCTAAGAGTTGGCCTAATAGGTCTTGTTAGAAACTGGTGAAACTGGATTTCACTTATTTTGCATTACTTATATTTCAGTTTCCCTAATAA